AAAAATCCCCGGCGGCCCCCCCTGCTTTCCCATGGCCCCTCCCCGGGTAAGAATTTTTTTTTTTTTTTTTTTTTTAGGAAAATAAAATTAAAAAAAAATCGCCTTTTTTTAAGCCGGACTGCAAGTGTTTCTGTTGCTCCGAGAGTTTCACCATCAGAGCAGATTTATTCCTAAAAGATATGTTTATAGAATAAATGTTTATAGTTTATGCATTTAAAGCCGGACCAATCACATCGCTGGCCTCTGCACGTTGCCTAATCGCGCTTTCAGAGGTGTTTTGAGGAGCGGTGAGAATGATGTGTGAAGAAAACATTATGCGGCGTTTACATCTCAACACGCTGCCCAGCGTTTGGCCGGTGTGTTAGTGGTTAACGACCCTGTGCTAATCATTCATCGTGCAGGTTTAACCCGGTGAGGAGCTTTCACGCTCTCCCCGCAGTCACGCATCACGCTGATTTTATATTATTTTTTTATTATCATTACTAGTATTTTTCCAGTTACACTAAGCACCAAACCATATCAAATGTTTGCCCACTTAGTCAGACAGAGTTAATGTGAACGGCCACCGGAGATCTGAAAAACTCGTCCAGAAACTCGACCAACCAAAATAATTTCTGTCTCCTTGTTAAAAACTAAACAGACACGAAATGAAAGAGCAACTAAAGTCACATTAGCAGCATTGAATTAAATCTCCCATTTGTTGCGCATCTCTGCGCAGTGCAGCGGGTTTAACTCATCATGCAGGTCCGGTCCAAGGGTGTATGAGGCCTGGAGCAGAATGTGACGTAGGGGCCCCTTTTGTTGCTAAAAACATCAGCACATCTAACAGCTTCTGTGTTAGATTTAGTGAAATGTAGGACAGGGAGAGTAGTTTAACTGGCAAACCTAAAAAGCAATAAATTATAACGCCAGTTTACTAATTTGTATTTGTGAACAAACGGAGCTGAAACTCAAAGATTAAACTCACAGCATCAGATTTTAGCTGTGGTAACAAACCAATCTGACTAAGAATATTGTTCTTTGAGCTTCTACAAAGTAAACTTGCCAGCTCCTTAAAATCTTACCTTAATCCATCCATCCATTTTCTTTACACCCTTGTCCCTTAGTGGGGTCGGGAGGTGCTGGTGCCTATCTCCAGCCAACGTTCCGGGGGAGAGGAGGGGTACATCCTGGACAGGTCGCCAGTCTGTCGCAGGGCAACACAGAGACAAACAACCACACACACACACTCACACCTAGGGACAATTTAGACAGACCAATTAACCTGACAGTCATGTTTTTGGACTGTGGGAGGAAACCGGAGTAAAATCTTACATATAAATGTTAAATAATCTAAAGTCTTTTAATTTATATATGCTAAAAACCATTATGTCAACTTTAGCAGCAATGATAATCTCAAACAAATGCTACATTTATCTGTGGTCTATGTTAAAATATTAGCATTTATGGGGCCCCTTGCTCTGGGGTGCCTGATGGAGCCACTGACTTAATTTGGATTTAACAGAAGTGAACATAATTGATATTTATTTTAATTGTATTTTTTGCTTAGGTTTTTAAGACTAGTTGTGGGTTTATATAGCAGTTCACTGACGATGTTTTCCCATAACACCCAGTTATATTTTTACTTTTGTCTACTTAACATCTTGTAATACAAAAACACAGTGGATCACCAGTGGACCGCCTCGGTGGCCTGACCAGTGCTTAGCAAGTTTTCTGGGGGGGAAACCTGGATAGCTATCTGCATCATATTATGAAGAGCTAAAAAAAATCAACTGTTAATATGCATTAACACAACATTTGTTTTTCTGCAACTGTATAAAAAGCCAGATAAATTGATTGGCATTCTTAGTAAAGATGAGTAAAAATAAGCTAAATAAATGTATCTTTTAAATAAGAAGCATAACTGTCCTATGTTAGGGGTACAATATGTAAAAAATAGCATTTCTATGAATCATTAACTCCACTTGTAAAATGTTAAAGATGCCCTTGCTGAAGCACTGAACGTAAATGGAGTTGAAACTCGACACCGAGTTCATCTACAAAGAGAAACTAAGTCGCTATCAATCAACACTTCAAACACTGCAGGGAAAAATTAACAAAAGCACCGACGCTGCATGTCAATTGTTGCAGGGCCTGCAATGGATTTGTCAACTTCTTGATAGAGAAAATTGAAAAAAATTAGACGGTCATTCTGCACATCAACAGCACCGATACGACGCACAAACATAATAAATGTAGAGAAAACAGCTAAACTTCACCAATTCAATCATGAAAACTTTGAAGAAATTATAAATCAACTAAGATCCTCCTCCTGCTAGCTTGATATCGTGCCCATAACTTGCCTTGAGAAGGTTCTGCCTGTGCTTGCATCTGATCCGAGTCAAATGTGAAACTCATTCCTCTAGTCAGGTGCTTCCGTCAGGCTTTATCAACAGCAGCTGCCAAACCACCAACACTAAAACAATCTTGAAAAGTCACTACTGCAGAATTATAGGCCAGTTTTTATTCTCTGGAACAAACTTTCAAGAAAACAGCAAAAAACATTCAAAACACTGAGTTCCTTTAAATCCAGGCTAAAACCCCACCTGCTTAGAGCTGCCTTTGATTAGTAACTGGAATACTGATCAATATATTTGATGATTGTGCTTGATGATGGCTTTTGACAAAATATAATGCTTATACTGTGATAATTGGTTACTGTATTATATTCTTATCGTGTTTCTATCACTGCCCTGCTGCTGAAATGTGCTGTACAAATAAACCTGGCTTACTCAACCGTGGCTTCCTGTTTCACCTGGGAGTGAATATGACATACCATAAAGGTCCGATTCTCTTACTCACTCAGGCATGGGAAACAAGAGAGATGCCATTTAAATCAGAGACTCGGTAATGATTATAATTAGTCAAAAATTGTCTTACTTAGTTACTCCCCTACATTTGAGAGCAATTAAAGAACGATCTCTGAAAAGTGTTAAACACCTGGAACAGTCAAAAGTCTCGGAGGCTTACTGGTTGAGAACTACAGCAAAGAGCAACATCTAGTGGTCAGAGGTCTTAACAGCAGCCATTACAGCCAATCTACTTGTCTTGTTTGAGTGACAAGAC